TGTTGATTCAATTTATCAAGAAATTTGAAAAAAATTATTGTTATATCTGTGTAATAAGTAATATTATGTAATAATATGTAAAATTACTAAAAAACTTTATACTTGGAAAATAATACATTATAAGTAAGTATAAGTAATAAATATTTTTTATGTGTAATTTTTCACGTTAAAATAATATTTAAATTGCATAAAAATACCTATTTTAATTATTGGATTTTAAATAACACTAATTAACTCAATTATTATTTGATAGTTATTGTATATTATATATTTATCTGGTATTATTGTATTGTATTCATAAAAATTAATAGCAGCTATATCTATAATAGAAACTCATAAAATTGCCAACTTTTTTTTTTTTTTCATCCATTTAACCCGGCGGATATAACTTTCAAAAGGAACATTGTTCCTTTTATTAATATTCTTTGCAAAAAGAAGTGTCATCCATCATTAATCACACTTTGAATTAGAAAAGTCTTTTTACAATGCGCTCATGTATTAACTCATGACTCATCTATACGTGATCACGAAAAAGAGGCACGTTTTCTGAGCGTTCACTTCTGTATTTCACACCTTCATAGTCTTGATAAATACTGTGTCTTGAATTATGCAACCTATAATACTGCTTTCCTTAGTTAAAACACGTCCTACCTAGAAATTTGTTATTTTTCAATATATGTACATTGAGCATTTTAAATTCCACATTGTTTCTTAACTTTTAAGTTTAAGTTGGAAAAACCTATGTGCCTTTGTGGAAATTTAGAATCAGGTTTAATTTATTTTATATAATGGTATGATACAAATTTTAGTTTTCACACAGTTATATTATTCATTTGCTACAATAGTGACACAATTACAAAATTTGCAATCTTTAAATAGTATTTTATTAATAGAATCATATAAGTGGATTTTTATATTGTACATTTAAAATTTTTATGAAGTTTTTGCACTCCTAGAGTATAAAAAATAATATATTTCTAATTCTAATGCTACACAAAATATTTTAACCAATATAAATAATAAATAAAATAAGAATTAAAAATTTATTCTATAATTTCATGAATACAGGTGCAATGTTTAAAGAAAAAAACATTTTAAATCTATTGAAAAAGTGTGTGAAAATAAAATATCTGCTTTATAAAAGAATTTTGCTCGAAATATAGGATGTTATCGATAAAGATATTGAATATATAAGCAAGATTACGTTTGAATAAGATAAAACAAGTTTGTAAAATCTAATTTTCAATACAGTGAGATAGCAGCAAATTGTTGAAATTGAACTTTCTACGTGTTATCTCGAAAAAGTTTTAAGCTTGTTAAAAAGATAAATTTCCCTGAAACTAGCCTAGAAATTTATCTTCTCATAAAATAGATTTATGTATGGAAAAACTTTGCTACGAGTCCAAAAAAATATATGTATGTTATAAATTATTATCTACATACTTTTTTTTTTATGTAACTTGAATTCGATTCAGATTATTTACAATATTTTCTTATATTGCTCAAAGCAAAATATATTATCTATATAATAATAATTCCATTGATTCACTCAAAAATTATAGATTTGAAAACTAAAAATATATCTTATACATTTACTTCCCTACTCATCTTAATAAATCCGTGTATTACAATAAACAAGCTTCAACATTTCACCAATTCCTCTTTTGTGTAATAGTATTATTTATTTTGTGTAAATTTATTTTGTGTAATAGTATACAGACATTAATAAATAACAATCTAATCAAACATAAATACAAAATCAAAAGATAAACACTGGTAACATATTTCACTCTCATTCTTGTTATATTATAAACAAAATCTACAATAAATAACACAAGTTCAAACAGAACAAATACCAAAATTGCAAACGTGTCCACACACACACACAAACACACACACACACATCATATGTATATATATATATATATATCTCGATATCAAGATTGTTGAACACTGTTGTACATTCTTCAACCCCTTTCTCCTGAACATCTCCCCCTGCCCCCCTCGTCCTCACGGAGTTTGCTCGCGCAATATTTGCATTGTTCTAGTTTAGGTAGGTAGAACGACTACAGTGGCATCCTCTCCCCTTTTGCAGCGAACCGTGACGAGACGAGCCGGTGCCCGAGCCCTCGTAAATCCATTTATTTATTTATTTATGTGCCACGGGAGCTGGAAACCGGATGGTCGTGGGGACCAGAGA